AAAATACAATACAATAAATAAAATAATATGACACGAGATAAGAAAATTTAAAAAAAAAAAGATATCAATAACATTGTATAGGTGAAAAAAACAATGTTAAGTGGATCCATCTGTATGATGAAAAAAAGAAGTATTGGTATGCTTTCTATGGGATGATTTCACACAAATGATATGATAGAACTTTGCAGGAGTATTTGTGTACAAATATTTCTTTTGTTCACATATTTTTATCACATATATTTATGCTACTGTTCTGTTTTTAGGCTTAAGTTTAAAGAGAAAAAATTTAACGTTAATCTCCACCTTTTTTCAGCGATCGAAGCGGATACGCATTTGGCTCCACCTTCGTTACCTTTCAATTCGCTCTTAAATTCGGTCGGACCATTACCGGATGTAACGAAACAGAAAAATTTGGATATGAACACGGAATCGGCGAAAGTTGAAGAATGCGCATCTGTGTCATCGAGCGATCGAGCAAATCTCGTTAATTTGAATGATAAGCCAATGGATAACGAGCGGATAAGTTCTCTTGATCAGATTAGTGTGGACCAGAATTGTACACCAATCTCTGATCCTGACGCCGATTCCGAACTGAGCGATCGTGCTCTCAGGCCGAGTAAAATTCCTGTTTTGAAGACGAAACACACAGAAAACTCAGGTAATGATGCAAGCTCAAGTAGGAGTGTCTCCAGAGAGGATTATGACGTGAATAGAACGTTGAACGTGTATTCCGGTATACCCACGTCGCCGATAACGGGGAAGAAGTACCGCAGTCCATTATCGGCAGTGGTGAAGCCACTCGATCGATCGAAGAAGCTGACGAATGGGAACGCCTCAAGCAATAGTCCATGCGATAATGTCAATGTCACCACTGACGCGTTAACGAACATTGATCGGATGAACGCTCCCGTTCAAACAAACAAAAATGTCATCGATGCATCGAGCGTCTCTTCTGCTACCGTTGTCATTAAGAGCGAAAACAACTCGGGCCGAGACATGTCGAATCATAGTACGAACGGCAAATCTCAAGATGACACAAACTTCAACACCGAGAGCTTCAAGGAGCACACGAATCTTGCGTTGAACGAGACGCTGAACTCGGAGAGGAAACCGAAGTTCAAGTGGATGTTTGGCCCTCACAAAAACGCAAATGTGGTAGGTAGTCTGGTTTGCGAGAAATATGGAGAACGGAGTCTTATACAGCATTAAACAATACAACATTATTACAAATATTACAACATTGGTACAATGCTGAAATGCTTTGTTTGTTCTATATAGGATACACTGAAAAATGCGGTGTTATTTTTATATAAATAATTTTTGGATAGCATACTACAGGAGAATAAAAATATATGTAGGAAATAAAAATAGAAAAGTAGAATTTTAACAAATTTAAATACTTAAGAAGATTAAAGATTAATTTGGAAATTATACTTATGCTAAAAATAAGGAAATTTTTATAATTTTCTATGAATTTGTCTATTAAAAAATAATTCAATTGTAATAGTTATGGATATATAATGATTTTTCTAATTTTGGTACTTACATTATTTTGCAGCTGCCTGTTCAAGTGAAGAAGAATCCAGGTCTCGGTTTCAGTATAGCTGGTGGAGTAGCGGGTGCAGAGACCGTACGTGTTACTCATGTAATTTACATGAAATGGAATTTTATTCACGTATTAAGAGATACGTCAAAGAATATATGATCTTTTTATCGCAGGGAATAATCGTGACGAAAGTGAATCCCGATGGACCAGCTCAGGGTACTCTTCGGCCGGGAGACAAGATCCTGGAGGTAGATGGCATCGACTTCACCAAGTCGGATCATAATAACGCTGTCGCCGTTCTACGTGCCACCGGTGCTGTTGTATCTATGATGATAAGTCGCCACCAATGATTGTAAGTTATTTCGGAAAAACAAAAAAAGGGGAAGAAAACTTTTTCTAATTCTTTTAGATCGCGTACGATCGCTTTACACACTTCAGACTGAATACATTTTATATATATAGCTCTATGATACACATATACATATATATATTTAAATATATTCTTTAATCAAATCTGTAAATCGATAGGTAAACGCGTCACTTTCGCGAAAAAACGAGAGAGACAGATAGAGCGGTCTGTGTGAATATCGCCGAGATTACTCGCGCTGTTGTGAATCCGCGACAATATTCGCGTGGATAGACAAAAACGAGATATCCCATACACACGTGCATCTATATATTTGTGTTGAGTAAGATTGTGTGTAAAACAAACTAGGATATACATAATTTGAATTTTGCGATTAATACGGCGCGATAAAGTGATCGAACCTCCCATGTGAGAATAATAATGAAGTATGTTATTTTTCAAACAATCTTATCTACGAGCGGATCCATTCTGCTTACTTTTATGTAGCTCCTCCACGAGTAACTACGACTAGAACAATAATGTCTTTCCTGAAAGCTCTCTAATTCCGAGACACGCACATCCGCGCGCGCGTGTGGACGATGATGTTGGTAGACTAGTTGATTTACATATATCTATATCTATATGCGTTCTCCTCGATGGGAGTGCCGACAATGTGCCAGAAAACAAAGTACTATTTATTATCCATATACATAACATATTGAGAAAAAAGATATATATACTATATATATATATAAATATTTACATATATTATATATATACATATTTATCTGTAGACGAGCCAGACAAGGCTCCCATGGATTCCAGGGCGGTGTAAATAAATCTCTCGATTGTTCCCGCGTGTTGAGATATTTGTTAGACATTTTTCCATGGAATGTTTCAATGACAAGAACTTCGCCTTCGAACTCATAACATAGATTTTTTTCTTAACGTGGAACGCTGAAATATAAACACGATTTTTTTAATTATGAAAACGAGCTATCAATTTTAGAAAATAAATAAAAAAATGTTACTCTTTTTTTTTTGAATTTGAAGATCTTATTTAATAAAATTTTAAATTAAGAATTATAATGGAACGGAAAAATCTTTCTAGTTTTAAAGTTTATATTTAAACTTAAAATTAGAATAAATTAATAATATAAATAAAAAGAATGTAAGAATCGGTTATAAAGTTCGCATAAATAACAAGTTAAAAAAGTTAAGAAATAGAGACTATTGAATTTAAATGTAAATTTTAAAATTACAAATATTTAGAAGTACATTTTTATATGAGACATTGACATTTTAATTTTTAATTAAATATCTTTATTTTTTAAATGCTAAAATACAGAAATTATATGAAGTCAAGAGAATGCGATCAAAGTTTTGCTAAAAGAAAGTTGGCTTAAAAACTTTTTTGAAAGAATTTGTGGGTGAAGTTCTTTGAAAATATTACATGAAACATCCTATACTCTTATTGGGAGATATCTATAATGTCGTGCTATACTTTGTTGTAATCAAATAATTTCTAACATGTTCCGGTCGTGTATTGCGATCTTTATTAGTTGTTGACTATAGTAGTTGTTATTGCGTATGGCAAAGCTATAAATTCTATAATTCGATCAAGGAATGCTATGAAAAAGAATAAGTATAGGACTGTTGCGAGTTGAATGGAACTTGGGATGTTCAGTCGAATGTTCGATTATGAATGAAATGCTCATCGCTTTTCGGGATGACAGTTCGAACGATATCTGTTTTAGATAATCGAGCATTCAGGGTTACTGATAATTAAAAGCGCCTTGCTCTATGGGATCCTTGTCACATTCTTGTCTGGTGTAGGGGAGAAAAGAAAATATTCTTCTATGTGCCGTACTTATATCAATAATGTTTATACTCGTCAGTGTCGATGTCAGTCTTCGGACGTTCAACAATTGTGGCGTATTATCCACTACGGATCTCTCTTCCTCTCTCGCATTTACGCCCTTTTTCAGATTTACCCCGTATTGCGAGAGATTGCTGTTCGATTGTTAATTAATTCTTAAACACTGGCGCGCACTTTCGTTAACAAAGAATGCGACTAATCTTCCAGTTATTATGTTGAAGATCATAGTCTATTTTTTTTTCCGAAGTATTCTTAATTAGTTCTGAACTGGTGCAATAAGTTAAATAAACTATACCTGTCTCACTTTAATTTATGCACCAGTTCAGACTTGGGGTGGAAAAAGAACATATCCCGTGTAAAAAAATATCTTATTTTTTTAAACATGTTATTAATGAAAAAGGATAAATATTTGATTAATTTTATTAATGAATAAATTAATTGGATAATATACATGACGTTTATAAATTGTGAGAGTTATGTCTTTATTAGATATGTATACGCTGGTTATTATTTTATACGTATATTAATTTTATAAAACTTTCACACCTATTCGCGCCAGTGCTCAAGGATGACAAATGGATGTGTACGTGTACCGTTATTCGATCTTTTTTATCATTAATGTTCTTAGACTGTCAAGACCACAAAACGCCTTTCGGAACCAACGCGTTTAATTTGGCGATTATTCGCGTTTCTTCCATTGATATCCCGTTGAAGGAGCAAACTTGTACCTTTCGTAGGAAATGTCCACCGCGACGATTGTTAGTTGAGCGTGATATCGCCGATCGACGGGCGAGATAAGATGTTTTTCTACGTCATGTCGATAGAAAAAAAATGATAAGAGGAAAAGTTGCGGTGGAGAGGAGGGCAAGAAGAGTGTAGGACTGAAAAATGGTAGCACAAATAAAAATCGTTATTCGGTTATATGTATATGTATGTTGCGTTTATATATATATTGAACATATTGTTATAATCTAAACCAGTGTGAATGCAAGACTATACGTCCTGGGCGTTTCGCATCTTTCCTTTGTTAAAGATTTCTTCCACAAGTTTCTGGAATTTTATTTTTAGATAAACATAAATGACTCTCTGTTTATTAATCTCTAATTAGTATAATTTATTTTTTTAATATTATTAATGTCAAGTCATTTAATATGGTTAATCAGAAATCAGGATGAGGATGTCTATTTTTATTGCGAATCCAAAAAGTCCTATCGATTGAGAATGTCAAGATCAGAATGTTAGACGACAGAGGAAAGATCGTGGGTTTCTGGGACTGAATGTTAGGTAATTAATTGTTGTTACTAAGTTAGTGTCTGTCTATTTGTATCTTCATTCGGTGTTATGTATTATAAGGTTTTACAGTAAGTTTACGTAAGCCGTGTACCGATCAAAGAAGCCGTTTCGCATTTCGATTTCCGCGTCGAGAATTAGTAGGATTATTCGTACCTAGTCAAACCTGATAACAAACATTAGTGTATTCTTCGCCTATCGACAATTTCATCTTTTGCGTTGCACCTTCGTCTATCAGTGTCATTAACGATAGTCTGAACTTCCAATCAATCTGATTATATCGAAGGCTCTTCGCAAATCTTTCTTCTTCTTACTTATAGGTTCTCGCTCGATTAGTTCCACACAGCATTAGCTCGTTGCTCTTCTCATTCTATTGTTGTATTTAATTCCGTAGAAACGCAAAGAAATATACTTGGATTGATCAAAACATTCGCCCGTTTCCTCGATCAATTTCTATTCTAAAAAGAGACAAGGACGAGCGCTTTTTTGATCAGCCTAAGAATCGTGCTAGAATGTTTCAGAGAGGCGGGATAAGGTACGTGTTGGCTGACGGAGAAGTTTCCACTTTCATGGACCACGAACACACATATGTACTCTTTTCTACTACTCTAAACTAAACAGACTGACTACCTTTTGGATACCTGTTTAATAGCGTTTCCGATCGGGACGTGGTTTTAACAATCGCCTCCGCGAGCGATTGATAGAGATAAATTTCATAAAAATTGGTTGAAACCGCGTTTATGAATTCGATCTCTGATGAGAATATTTTTCCGAAGCTTTATGTTAATTATCTCGCGATAATATGTCGAACGAACACAGATCCCGCACGGAAACGCCATAAGCGACGCTCGCTATCGTTATTGATCGGAGTGAATTGCGAATCTAAGATTGAACGCGTGACTGAAGCTCCGAGTTGTACCCATGGGTGTATATACAATAAGCGATTAATTGTATGCGTATGTAAGCAAACGTTGAGAAAGCAATCAAGTGGTCGTACCATTTTACTTGCGATATATTTTGTGTTTTTAATTCTTTACTTACTTTTATCGTGTCGAACGAATTTCTGAGCGAATCGAACTCGAATTTTTTTTTGTGCCAGAGTATTTTTTTTTTTCTTTTTTTTTTAGTAATTCAGCGATCAATGCTTTATTAAGTATTATGTTTCGCGACGTCCGCGTTTATCCGAAGAACGATTTGTCTCTGAACGGTACAACCACTTCGTTAGCGTACGTTAATTATGGTTGTCACATATGAATAATTTATAGTTTGTAAACGATGATCGATGTACAAACAGATACTCACGTTCTACTGCGCGGACGTCTTCTGATATACAATTACTATTGCATTTTGAATATGTTAGTGGAAGATGTCTGACCTTTAATGAGAAGTCCTAGTTGGTTGTGCAGCAATAAATAAATTAATATTTACGTATAAAGTGTGTGAACAAGTTTGTAGCGTTTCACGCATCTCTTCATTAATTCTGCATCAAGAAATGCAGATGTTTCAATCGTTTCATAAAAATATGCATGGAAAAAAATGATGTGTTAACAGCATTAGTTATAATAGTAGTCTAATTGAAAATAATTTTGCTAGTTCAATGACGGTATTTTTGAAATCAATAGTATTTTATTAAACAGCATGTTGTGTTGTTTCATTAAGACTGTTATTAAATTAATAATATTATTTTCATTTAGATTACTGCTAAAATATTTTTTTTGTGAAAAAATTTCTTTTTGTTGAATTGTTTGCATATATTACTTTACATTTTATTGTAAAAGGTCCATTTTTTAAAACGCTTTTTCAAGGTAATAATTTTATCGCATCCAACAAAATTGGTCAAGATAGATGGATAAGATATAAAGACAAAGATGTACGCATTACATGCGAAAGGTAAAGCATTAACAAGATTAATGTTATACTTCTTGAAAAATGTAGAATAGATCAAAACATGGCGAACTCAAAATATGAAATAGAAATATAGTACAAAATGTAAAACGTATTAATCGTATCGATATACAAAAGAACATAATTCTCTTTTGCAAAGATAGTTTTCGTAAGATAATGATTTTCAGTGATAGATTAGAAATATAACAACTTGAAAAATTTTTGGAACTTGAAATTACATAATTTTAAAACTGAACATTATTTGCGATACAAATTTTAAGCTATATATATAGGATCTACTTATCAATCGCTAAATTTACATAAACTAGATCCCAACGTACAATTTTTATGTACAAAGCCGACAATACATTTTTTTCTTTTTATTTTACCTATGATTATCTTTGAAGGATTCACCTACATATATTAAAACGAAATTATGAATAAAGAGAGATGGCAAAAGTGTTAATAACTATTGTTGATATTTATTAATAGCTATTGATTTTTGTCTCAGTTATATAAGTGTCGAAAATAAAAATCAACTGCATTATTAATACACTCAATGTATCAAAACTCGGAGATAACTCGCGTAACTTCCTCGAAAAAAATATACGTGAAGGTCTTAAAAGTCTTCCAACAAGTTATCCATCAGAAAACAACTTTATCTTTACTATGAATTTCTCGCAGAGTATACCGCACTTCGTCTACAATGATGAATGCAACGTGGATCGTCTACAATGATGAATGCAAGTGATGCGTCAAAACGATATGAAGGATTCCTTGGAACGGGGCATTTCTTTAATTCTTATGCCGTTTTTCATAAAAACAGCCTCGCGAACATTGGAGTAGTATCCCCAATTAAACGCTTGATTCAATAAGAAGAGCCAATAACTGCAAGTTCTGAACAACCATCATATCGGCATCATCATAGACATTCCGGATAGCTTAATAGTTTCAAACATCAAGAATATACTGAATGCGATCGCGCAAGAGTTGAACAGATTTTAAGAGTGTGGTAGATCATCGATACCGATCTGAGCAGCACAATTTTTACGTTGTTCAATATAAACATGGTAAGTGCAGACATATGAAAAGACAAATTATCAATGTAAATTACGAATTAATATAAATTGTTTACGGCGTTTACGTTAAACTTATAAATCACCGATTCTGAAATTGGATACTGAATTTTGTATAAATAGTATGTATTCTGATGACTCATTTTAGATTGGGAGTATAAATAAATGTAATTATAACTAGACGAATTGTCTCATGGAACTTATGAATCATTAGATATTCAAAAAGGATTAATTATTGTATTCATATGTTAAAATTTTATGGGATATATCAGGCACTTGAAAGTATTTATTTCTTGTCCTGCATCGAAACTTGACGAATTCTTGATGAGAAACTCTGACATCAAATAGTTTATTACTTTATACTTTTACGTTTTTGTTTCGGTTATATAAGTAATTAATATAAAAATCGCAACGTTATAGTAACACTTTCGCCATAATCTCATTTTAATAATATGTAGGAAAGTTCGTCCAATATAAGGACTGGATTCTTAATGTATATAAATGTTTATAGACGGCTTCAAGGGCAGATCAGCAGATGCATTGGATTCTCCACATAGTACTTCCACAGATTGGAGAATCTAGCCACCGTTACGCCGTCAATGACGCGATGATCTGCGGACCAGCTGATCGACATTATGTTGACTGGAATCACGTTCCCCTCATTGTCGAATCGCGGCAACTTCCGCGCCTTCCCAAATGCACCTATTATTACTTGCGGTGATACGATAATCGGCTTCATAAACGTTCCACCAATCTAGAAGTCGACACAAAGAACAGCGAATTTAATAGAAATAAATATTTAGATGAAGAAAAAAGAAAAT